CATCTAGTAGTGTCTAATCAGATGTTATATATATATATATCTTTCCATCATCTATTTAAATATTTTGTTCAGGTTCTGTTGTCCTGTGATCAGGTTGAAAGCATGCATCGAGATCTTGATAAATCTAGCGCTAACCTTTCATGTATTATCAGGTATTAAAAAACGCATGATCCGAACCAGTGGAAGGATGCCAGTCTTGTTTTTTAGTTTATTTAGTGAGCTTAATTATTAATATCTACGGTAATATTGAAAACGCACACACAAAAAATAGACTGCATGTTGGAAATGCCAGAACCAGCGATTCTTTTTGTTAATATTTAACCCTATTTGACCCCCCCCTGTAGTTTTTTTTACATAACTCAAAAAGTATTGGTCTGAGGCTGTTGAAATTTTCTGACTTTTCTTACATACCCAAAGCCCTCCCTTTAGGCCTAAAACCGGGCTTTAATACTAACTGCCTGAGTCCTCAGGCACACTGCCTGAATGACTGCTTTTGCCTGTAACAAACTAAATCTTTGTTTTGACCCACTTTCACTTGTCAGATTTTGATAAAATTTAGCTTTTTGGAAAGCCTATGACATAAGGAAACGGATTGCACAAGTTTTGCGAAAAAAAAATTGCAAATTTTTTGCAAACAACCTGTCAAAGGAAATTTGCACATTTTTAGTTTTTCTTGATTACAAATCAGGTTATTTAAAATTTTGCAAAAATTTTTGCAAAATTTTTTGCATATTTGAAATGGCATGGTCAAGGGCTTTTCAAAAATGTATAATTTGTCATTTTTTGGACAAATGTTTTTTGCAAACATTTTTACTTTAAAACTGGATTTTGCGATAAAAAATTCAATTTTCGCAAATTTGCAAATTTTTTTGCAGATTCTAAAAGTAGAGCACTAGAGCTTTCTAATGATGTATCATTTGTCATACTTGGACATCAAACATGGGATTTAGAGGGGGGGGTCAAATTGACCCCCCCCCATCGTATCCTGGTTTTCAAGTACCCCAGCAGGGATAGGGTTAACGAATCATACTTTAAAATTTGATTCTCAAATATTGAAACTGGCTGGAAATATGATTCTAGCTTTTTACTTTAAAATTAGACAAATCAAATATTTTATAAAAACAAGTTTAAGACAGAAATTTTAAAGCTTAGGTTTCATTAATATTCATTTTGTTGTTCTAAATGTAAAAGATATAACACGAACATTTTAATTAGGGATTATGAACCAACTGCAGGTGCTTAAAGTTAATTAAAAATGTTAAGAATTTTGCTTTTATTTTGTTTGCAATTAAAGATATTGTTTTTTTACTTTTCTTTAATATCAAAGAAAATTTATCTTTTTATTTTTTTATTAATGTTGTTAATGTAAACACTATTCAGGGACTACACATTTCATGAATAATTATAATTAGAAGAAATAACACTGACTTCTGTATTTTCTCCAGATTACTGTTGATGTTGGCTAAACTAAGCTTGGGATTAGATGATGCTGAACTAGAAAAGCTTGAAGCTGCTCTCCCCCCTGTAATACAGACAGGACAGGACCAGGTAAGCTGCTTTCCCCCCTGTAATACAGACAGGACAGGACCAGGTAAGCTGCTTTCCCCCCTGTAATACAGACAGGACAGGACCAGGTAAGCTGTTCTTCCCCCCTTTAATACAGACAGGACAGGACCAGGTAAGCTGCTTTCCCCCCTGTAATACAGACAGAACAGGACCAGGTAAGCTGCTTTCCCCCCTGTAATACAGACAGGACAGGACCAGGTAAGCTGCTTTCCCCCCTGTAATACAGACAGGACAGGACCAGGTAAGCTGTTCTTCCCCCCTTTAATACAGACAGGACAGGACCAGGTAAGCTGCTTTCCCCCCTGTAATACAGACAGAACAGGACCAGGTACGCTGCTTTCCCCCAGTAATCTAGACAGGACAGGACCAGGTAAGCTGCTCTCCCCCCTGTAATACATACAGGACAGGGCCAGGTAAGCTTCTCTCCCCCTATAATACAGACAGGAAAGGACCAGGTAAGCTGCTCTCCTCCTCAGCTCCTGCTAGATCCCTTAAAACTTCTCTATATGGTTTTTAGAACCTATTTATATATTTAGATTATCCCGAAACCCCTCTGCTTTTTTGTGCTTTTACTATAAAATATATATTTTTCTTCCGAAATACTCGCTGTAACAAAGACAACATCTAAATACATTGCAGGATTACAGGATCCATTCAAGGATAAATATATGAACGGGAAAAGTAATTATAAATTGAAATCATATACATCAATAAAGATACAATTAACCTTATTTATTCCTGCAGGGTTGGGAGGAGACAACAGATGCTGGTCTAACCTTCCTGCTCCGAACCGCTCTAGCCAAGGCAGGCAGAGAAAATCAAGGAGCCACACCCATCACTCTAGAGTATCCTAAGGTTAGACAAAGAAATTGAGTTTTTGCACCAAGCTCTGATTTTCTAATATCTATATATTTGCAACCAAAAAAGGTCGACCTTAAAATATTTGAAAATATAAATACTGTTAGACCAAATAATCCAAATTTCAAATGCTTATACCATTAGGTTGCTAAGATAAAGGAAAATGTGAGTGTTTGGCAAAGACTCATTTCCTTTGTCACTGTAAAATGAAAATTGGTTGTAAATGTTCAGATGCCTATTCATAAAAGAGGTTTTCTTAAAAGAGACTTTATGTTAATCATTTCAATATTTAGAAAAATGTAGTTCAAAAAACTTTTACTTTTAGGGTATTGGATTTTTAGTGAGAGATGTGCATTACAATTTTTAGCAAAATAAATCCGTTAACGAGGATGCAAGCATAATTTTTTGGACCTTCTTTCTAAAGAAATATCCCTAGGGTGTCCAGAGAATGGGGAAATCAATTTGCGAAAATTTTGCAGCTTTTTCGCATTCTGTTCGCTGGGGAAAAAAATCTGTTTCGCAAAAAGTAAATGCAAAACTTTCGCAAAATATTGCGAAATTTCTCACCATTTTCTCACAAAATTCGGCATCGTTTTTGCTATATTTCGCTAAATTTATTTTCGCAAAGTTTTGCAAAACATTTTGCGAAAAATTAAAGAAATTTTTCGCGAATTTTCGCCAAAGTTTTTGTTAGCTGGAAACCCTAGATATACCTGATTCACAACTGTACCCTTCAAACCTTTTACCTTACTTCCGGAGATTTGAAGTGAGTAAAGAAAGAGTGGGGGGAAGGGGGGGGGGCCAAACAATTCGTTTCTTTGAACATTTCCTTACCTTTAAATTCAATTTTAAAGTTTTTACTTACCTCGCACCTTGTACCTTCCAAACTGTGGAATAGGAAGACGACATGTAATCGATGATAACTAAATTTCATGCTGTTATAAATAAATTCTTAGTTTTACCGGTAGCTTAAAAACAACTTATTATAACGTAAAGGGTCTCAGTATTGTGTACAGTGTATCTATATATATACTTTGCACTTGCCTGTCTGTCAGTTTGTCCGTTTTTAATGTTGTCCAAAAGTTTTTACTTTGTAAAATTTTGAAAATGCGCAAATATTTTTTTTATCAATTCCGCGAACTTTTTTTTGTTAATTTATACTGTACACAGATAAGATGCTCACAGATAGAGCCACAATTAAAAGTTGAAATATAAAATACTGCACAATAGTACCAGTGTGGCGTTATTTCTGGGTAAACGTTAAATAATGGTAGTAGATTCTACGCAGCAAATTTTCCGCAGCATCCGCGCATATTTTTGCAGTTCACAGCAATGCGCACAACAGAAATCTGGTATTTTGTCTGAAATAAGAAATTATATTTATACACTTAAAATATACACTATATGCTGATATATAATATGAGTACAGAAGTAATTAACTATAAATTAAACTCTCATTAGTTGCAAGTATCAGAATCATAAAAATTAACTAACATAAACTAAGCTGTAATAGCGATCCCTAATGTTAAGACAATTGATTTTTACTGTCTGTTACTCAGGAAAACTTGATGATTCTTAAATATGAGAAATACTTTCACTTAATTTACTGTTTACATTCACATAATTGTGCGCGAATGCCGCGGAAACTATGCTGCGTAGATTATACTACCATTATTTAACGTTTACTTAGAAATAACACCACACCTGGTTTAATGTTCCATTGGTTTTTGAAAATCCTAAGCCCGACAGGTGTCTTCCTTTTTCCTAGTCCCACTGAATACTGTTAGAAAAAAATCGAGCATTTTGTTTTAAACATTGACGTTTCAAAGTTATGCCTATTTTGTTTGAAAAAATGTCTTTTTAAATTTTCATATCCGGCAATATTCATCATTTTGAAATACATCCGATAAGATCAATATTAGGAACAAAATATTCCATCATTGCAAGGACCAAATTAATTAATTTAAAAGGTCGCTAAACTGCCTATAAGAAAAACCAGTTAAAATTTTGAATCACGGATTCAAACCTCCTAAATCTTCTACTTTGAATCGGTGGTAGTTCAGCGAGCTCTCTCCAATTATTAAATTTGGTCTCTAGTAGATTAGTTCTATTTTGTTTATTAGGAGATATCAAGACTCAAGAAGCACGTTTCCTCTGTTATGGACAGGTATTTTTTTTAAAATAGATGAGAAAATTATTTAAATATTTCTTATAAATTTATTCTTTTACAATTCTATACGCATATACATTTAAAATTGTAATATAACATTTTAGCAACACATTTAAATCTACGATCTCTTTCAGATTTTGAAATTGTTCACAATTAGAGACAATTTTTCAATTTTATAGCAGTTAAACTTAACAGATTCCTTTTTTTGAGGTTGATTTCCTTCTGTGATCTGTGAATTTCAGTGTGTGAAATTTAGAAAATTAAGATATTCAACCTGAAGTCGTAAACCTTTGAAATTTTATGAGGAAATTATAACTATTAATTCTGCTTTATCAAATAGTCAATATATGACATTTGTTTGCAAAATTATAAAAGTTTTAGTTCCTTTGAATATTGTAGGATTAACAAGGGCAGCAAAGTTCAAGATATTAACGTTCTCCCTGATTCCTCACCGTTCGTTCATGAAGTTATTAAAGATGATTCTTTTGATACTGAAGCTTTAGAGGTAAATACTACAATACAAAGCACTAAACAATTCCGGTCCATTGGAAGTTATTGACTAATTAGCAGCTATTAAAGCTAATTCTGTACAGATTAATTAATCTTGACAACACGCATCTTAAAATTAAAACATGAGTTTCATGCCTGTAAGAATTTCATAAAAGAATTGTATATCTTTCTTGCAAAAATATTATTGCCGACTTTGTTCTCTCTTTTGGCAAAACCAACTTTAAATAAATGATATTGAAATTAGCATCAAACACCCTATGTATATTAGGTTGTGGGTAGAAGTATTCCCGAGATGACTCCAGCAGGAACAAGGTTTGGAGAATCTGGAGAAAGAATAAGATCTGCCAGGTAAAGCGATCAAAGAACCAGCTCTCATATTTTTAAAAGATCAGAGCGCCGTGGCTAGGCTTCCAGGCAAAAGATGAAAACGCAACCCCAAGGTTCCTTGGTAAAAAGAGCATCCTGTAGGTTTCCGAGGAAATATAAAAGCTTATAGTTCAGGTTTCTAATTACTGATTAAAACATAAATATTCGACCGCAAGATATAAAAGATCAATGTTTAACCGTATGTTTCCAAGTAAAAATATCATATCAACCTCAAATTTTAGGTTTCTAAGTATTTAAGAGATCAAAGCTAAAGGCGTTTTCTAGGCTTCCAAGTAAAAGATCAAAGATAAACCTTTAAGTTCCCAAGTAAAAGATCAAAACTTAAAGGGAGTGTTCGCGAAAAATGAAAAGGGGTATAGGCTTAATGCGATAAAAAAGTGCTTTTGATCGCTTCTAATCTTACTTCTATCAGTTGCATCTATAAGGTGAAAATTGTCAAAAAGGACTACTTTCTCCGGTATTAGTTCTTTTCAAAAAATTTCTCCTTCTAGACGCAACAGATAGAAGTAAGTTTAGGAGCGACCAAAAACGCTTTTTTATCGCATTAAGCCTAAACCACCTTTCATTTTTCGCGAACACTCCCTTTAACCTGTAGGTTTCCAATTCAATAATTAAGCCTCAAATTGTAGCTAAGTATTTAATTAAAAGATCAACCTCTTAGTTTCCAAATAATAGATCAAAGGTCAACTTCTCAGTAAAAGATCAAAGCTTTACCGAAGAATAATCTCTCCAATTTTCTGAATAATTGATATATTTATGATCATGTTGCTGAAAAAAGGAAAATACATCTATACATACATATCACTTATCACATCCTTAATATTGAGAATATCTAAAAGTAAGGGACTGTTCACCTTTATATTGAGAATATGTAGAAGTAAGGGACTGTACACCTTTATATTGAGAATATCTAGAAGTAAGGAACTGTTCACCTTAATATTGAGAATATCTAGAAGTAAGGGACTGTTCACCTTTATATTGAGAATATCAAGAAGAAAGGGACTGTTCACTTTTATATTGAGAATATCTAGAAGTAAGGGACTGTTTACCTTTATATTGAGAATATCTAGAAGTAAATGGGACTGTTCACCTTTATATTGAGAATATCTAGAAGTAAGGGACTGTTCACCTTTATATTGAGAATATCAAGAAGAAAGGGACTGTTCACTTTTATATTGAGAATATCTAGAAGTAAGGGACTGTTTACCTTTATATTGAGAATATCTAGAAGTAAATGGGACTGTTCACCTTTATATTGAGAATATCTAGAAGTAAGGGACTGTTCAACTTTATAATGAAAATATCTAGAAGTAAGGGACTGTTCACTTTTATATTGAGAATATCTAGAAGTAATTGGGACTGTCCACCTTTATATTGAGATTATCTAGAAGTAAGGGACTGTTCACCTTTATATTGAGAATATCTAGAAGTAAGGGACTGTTCACCTTTATATTGAGAATATCTAGAAGTAAGGGACTGTTCACCTTTATATTGAGAATATCTAGAAGTAAGGAACTGTTCACCTTTATAATGAGAATATCTAGAAGTAAGTGACTGTTCACCATTGAGAATATCTAAAAGTAAGGGGCTGTCACCTTGTTCACGTATTTCAATAACACATCATACCCCTTTATTCAGAATTAAGTGCAGAAAGGTGCTCAAAGAAGATTAGACTTATTTGACACTTATTGTCCAAACATCTAGGGTTGACAGAAAAACCCAATTTTCTGGTATAATTTTGTTTAAATGATATATTTCTAGAATCCGATCAGCTCGTTCTGCCCGATCTGCTCGGTCATCATCTAGTCGGTCATCTTACTCCCGTCCTACCACCAGGTAAATTAAGGGACTGTATACGTTAGTTCAAAATGGTTCCATTTACATCTAATATATAAGTCACAAATTCAAGTGCCCCTCCATATAAAGCAGATTCACACTTATGCGCTTTGAACCTTAGTGGCTGAATAAATGGATTACTTCCTTTATTTTTTGTTTGTTAATGATAAACAGACCAGACAAAGGTTTACAGGGTAGTGTTTTGAATCAAATATACCCCCCGCCTCTTTACGTATGTTTTTTATATAGTTCCTCTATGCGTGGACAAGCTGGGGACATACCTCCTGATGGTCCTGTAGACCTAGAGGAACTAGAGAGGAACCTACCTCCCCTACTCCCCCAGGTAGGATATATACTCCTAGATCTAGAGGAACTAGAAAGGAACCTACCTCTCCTACTCCCCCAGGTTTATGTATACAATCCTAGACCCAGAGGAACTAGAGAGGAACCTACCTCCTCTACTCCCCCAGGTAGGATATATACTCCTAGATCTAGAGGAGCTAGTGAGGAACCTACCTCCTCTACTTCCCCAGGTAGGATATATACTCCTAGATTTAGAGGACCTAGAGAGGAACCTACCTCCTCTACTCCCCCAGGTAGGATGTATACTCCTAGACCTAGAGGAACTAGAGAGGAACCTACCTCCTCTACTCCCCCAGGTAGGATATATACTCCTAGATCTAGAGGAACTACAGAGGAACCTACCTCCTCTACTCCCCCAGGTAGGATATATACTCCTAGATATAGATGAACTAGAGAGGAACCTACCTCCTCTACTCCCCAGGTAGGATATAAACTCCTATACCTAGAGGAACTAGAGAGGAACCTACCTCTCCTACTCCCCCAGGTTTATATACAATCCTAGACCTAGAAGAACTAGAGAGGAACCTACCTCCTCTCCTCCAACAGGTATTTTTATACAATCCTAGACCTATAAGAACTAGAGAGGAACCTACCTTCTCTACTTCCCCAGGTTTATATATACTCCTAGGCCTAGAGGATCTAGAGAGGATTCTACCTCCCTAACTTCCCTCTGGTAGAATATGATTATTCTAGATCAGAGGGTGAAACTTAGATGTNCTAGAGGAACTAGAGAGGAACCTACCTCCCCTACTCCCCCAGGTAGGATATATATACTCCTAGTTCTAGAGGAACTAGAGAGGAACCTACCTCCTCTACTCCCCAAGGTAGGATATATATACTTCTAGATCTAGAGGAACTAGAGAGGAACCTACCTCCTCTACTCCCCCAGGTAGGACATATACTCCTAGACCTAGAGGAGCTAGAGAGGAACCTACCTCCTCTACTCCCCCAGGTAGGATATATACTCCTTGACCTAGAAGAACTAGAGAGGAACCTACCTCCCCTACACCCCCAAGTAGGATATATACTCCTAGATCTAGAGGAACTAGAGAGGAACCTACCTCTCCTACTCCCCCAGGTAGGATATATACTCCTAGATCTAGAGAAATTAGAGAGGATCCTACCTCCTCTACTCCCCCAGGTAGGATATATACTCCTAGACCTAGAGGAACTAGAGAGGAACCTACCTCTCCTACTCCCCCAGGTAGGATATATACTCCTAGATCTAGAGGAATTAGAGAGGAACCTACCTCCTCTACTCCCCCAGGTAGGATATATACTCCTTATAGACCTAGAAGAACTAGAGAGGAACCTACCTCCTCTACTCCCCCAGGTAGGATATATACTCCTAGATCTAGAGGAACTAGAGAGGAACCTGCCTCCCCTACTCCCCCAGGTATATATACAATCCTAGACCTAGAAGAACTAGAGAGGAACCTACCTCCTCTCCTCCAACAGGTATTTTTATACAATCCTAGACCTAGAAGAACTAGAGAGGAACCTACCTTCTCTACTTCCCCAGGTTTATATATACTCCTAGGCCTAGAGGATCTAGAGAGGATTCTACCTCCCTAACTTCCCTCTGGTAGAATATGATTATTCTAGATCAGAGGGTGAAACTTAGATGTTTACCCTTAGCACTAACAGAATACCTTTTCTTTACCTGCTGAACATTGATCTATTTCAATGGATTCAACCAATGAGAGATTTGATATGAAAAAGGTTAATCAACCTCATTGCTTGTTACAATTAACAGTGTTTCCACATGATAAAGAAAAAGTCGCTAAAGATAACAATTTTTCAAGACAATAAATCTAAGACATAGCAATTAAAAAAGAGTATTCCATGCAGATGAAACATTTTTATTGCTGTCGAAATATCAAAAGTAATAATCTGATATGTGTATGGATAAGGTAAACTCTACCAATAAAGCTGGAGTAGTGTTAGAAGAATATATTTCTAAGTTTAGTACCCGCATTCAACTTTCAAACATATAAGTATGAATAAATTAAACTTTTCCTTAACTCAAACTCAATGCATCAAAGCTCTCTAGGTTTCCCATAAATTGCTAAATATTATGTTTAGAATAAATTTTTTTAATAAGCTAATAATGTGCGCTTTTATGATATTTTTTTTATGTGTTTATTTATGATAAAACTAAGGTTCACGTTACTCAATGACATACTGATCCAAATTGGACTACAAACGAATTATCATGAATGTTAGCAATTTTGCACAAAACATTAATTTCTAAAACTTTTATAATTTATGTTTCTTCTTATTTTGTTTCCTTATGACTGGTAAGAGTGATTAAAAATGATTTCTCTTTGAAATTTTGCGAGTTTTTAGTTTAAAAGCTAAGATTTTGGTTTCACAAGCTAAGGTCTCAAGACTCAGAAAAACACATAAAGATTTTTTTGTCATTAGTAAATCAAAGCTCATATTTAGATAATCTGGATTAGCTAAAGAAAAAATTTGGGTTTAAACATTTATGTGCTTCTAAATAGACAAACAAAATGAAGTATGAAAACTGATGTTTGTGTGGGTATAGAAATAACTATGTCCGTTATAGGGTTGTTAATCGTTAAACTAAAAGAAACTGAGTTTATTTGGCAGCAAATTTCGATTTTTTTAACCCAATGTCGTGGACTTTTTATTTATCAAACTCTTAATTCTGTTAGATCAAATAGTCTAACTGTTATAGATATCAAAGGTTTACACCATCAAGTTGCAAAGATATAGGATAAGTAAAGTATCCAACTAAACATCAGAACTGTTGAAACAATTTAACCAAGATTGTTTGTATTAAGACTGAAGGTTCGATCTGCAAAATCTACTGTTAAAATCAGAAAACTGAACACTTGATTTATTATTATATAGAATAGAAGAAGAAAAAATTAAGAGTTAAATAATATTTAGGTGCAAAGCGCCATTACTGTGCTTTACATAAAACACAAAGCTTGGAGAAAAACCATATTTTTAATTTATTTAATTTAGAGCCTGGAGAGAAAGAATATTGAGAGTCCTGCTGAGATATTTGCTACTCCCGCAGCTGCAGAAGACGACATTTGGTAAAATCAACTTGAAATCACACCACCAGCTGCTGAAGACGACATTTGGTAAAATCAACCAGAAATCACAAGCAGCTGCTGAAGAAAAAATTCGGTAAAATCCACCATGAAATCACACCAGCAGCTGCTGAAGACAACATTTGGTAAAATCAACCAGAAATTTCACAAGCAGCGGCTGAAGATGATATTTGGTAAAATCACAAGCATTACACATCAGTAGAAGAATTCAACACCAAAAAAAACAAGAGCAGAAAAAGAAACGTACATTTAAAATGGTTATTTCAAAGGATACATTGTAAGAATACAACAATTAAAGTTATTGTTTAGATAATCCAATGAAATTGAATCCAGCAATATTGCAGTGAACACAATTCTCGCTTTTACTTAATAAGTTAATTTTAAGCTACCGATAAACCTCTTGGTTTTGAATTAAAACAATACCAAATACACACATATGATTGTTAAAATTTCTTTTTCCCATTTCCCAGTTACATTCAAAATTTTTTCACACTTCCTCCATTATAAGATCGAGTATATTACAAAATAATTTTATGTCGTCTTTGAAGTCTTATATATTTTGTGGGTATCCCTGTATATTCTAATAAATTTTACGTTATTGTCACAAAATTTTTGAGCAAAACTGAAGCATTTTTAGATATTTCAGTTCAGAAAGTTTCTTGTTCATTGCAACTTCATCTCAAAAAAAGTAAGAAATTTTGAAGTAAAAGAAAATTCCCAACATTGGCAAGCAAAAAATTATTAATTTTATTAGCTTGGATAGAATCTTCATAACTAAAAAAATTCATATTTTAATTTTTTAAATATTTTTTTCAAAGTGTAATTTTGCAATTGAAGTTTTGACCATCATATTTTAAAGTTAAGCTTATAAGTGACGCATAACTTACCTAAATGTTATACGGAAAATTCATGTGTTAATTTAAGAAATTGATTTATAAATAAATATACAAAAAATAAGTGCTTTATTCTTTGGTCATCCCTTTGTGAATCTAAGGCAAGGTTTCCTAATTATAAAGTGATTTAATTCCTTTTAGAAGTACATTTCTCCAAAAATAAAAAATAAAAAATGTTAATTTATTATATCAGAATTCAGAATTTATGTAAAGCTGAGATCTCAGTTTTCTTCTTTGACATGAAAATATTCTAAAAGAAACAAATCTGAAAATTATTACAAAGTTGTGACACTTTTCCACACAAAACATATCCAAAGCAAGCATTGATGCGACACAAACCCCCCCTTTCCCCATTCCTTCTCCACCCTCCCAATCCGTATTCTCTTTTCCCNGAGGTCATTTTGTTGAGATTTCATTTCAGATTTGTAATTTATTGGTTTGAAAGTACACTCACATTAATATATTATTTATTTTTTAACAAGAAATATAATCCAACATTTTGAAATGACAGAAGCCATTTGATGTATCTAATAATCTGAAAGAATTTGAGGTACAAACTACAAATATTATGTGATCTAAAGGTTGCAACCTGTCTGTCAAAAATTGAAAAAAATTTTGACGATACTTTAAAATTAAAGGTAAAAATAGTCCTAAAATGCATATATCTAGGGCTACACAAATGTGCACGTGATTTTGTAAGGTAGAATCAAAATTGATCCAGTCTTTTTCACAGAAGTCCGGATTTATGTGATGACACTGCAGTGCAGCTCACATTGTCTCACTTCTCCGGCTGTAAATTCACTGCTCGCTTCGGATTGGTGAGAGGAGAGCAATGTTGGGAGACTCTATATATTCTGATGTTGAATAAGTTGCATTTAACATACTGGACGAAGAAACGTTGCAAACGATCTTGTTACGCGAGCCATGCTGCGTGTAGAAAGTCTGCTTGTCACCCCTGGGTATTTCTGAGTTCTCCCTGAAGATCTGTACGGAATGTATTGTGAAAGAACTAGTTTAGGAACTGTTTACAGACCGACTGCGCAGACGCAAGATTTCTCGCGGAGTAGTAAATAATTTATATCAGTATATGTTTATTCGTTTTGCAAGTATTAGCCGTGTTCAGAATTCTGGGATCACTGTGGTAACTATTTTATATATATTTATGCTTATCGGTTTGATTATAGTATGATTGATATTTATATACATGTTTATTGGTTCCTAGCCACAGTTTTTTAATGCCTGAGTGAATTATTTGTTGTAGTTGTATGATTTGTCACTCAAAGCTTTTTCTGTGGGTTTATTAAACTTATTTAGATTGAAGGCTCAGAGAAATAAACGTTCGGAACCTTACTATCATCCTTTTATTATGAAGAGCTTTGAGAGAAGGGAGTCTTACGATCCGGTCCTGAGAAATACCACACGGTATATATATTAGGTCTTTAGGGAAATCGCTAAGTAGCGAAACAGATCTAAAACTCAAAAAGGTGAGATTTTTGATAAAAAAATTGATCCTTTTAAAGAACGATCGTTTTATCAACAATCTTTTCGTTTTTTTCTACGTCGTTCACTAAACACACCCCCAGCTTTATATCTCCAATGAAAAGCATGTGAAGAGTAAATTCTTTTCTGAATTATTACGATGATGGGTGAAGAATATCAATCTTGAATATCATTAACGCGCTTTTAAACTGACCTTTTTAAAACTTAAAGAATCCATGGGTTGTCACAAACACTCTTAATTTGGAATTGAGTCTTTGCCTCAAACTTAAATTTTGTAATCCGTACATTTTTGCAACTTGATGGTTGGTGTAACCCTTCTTTATTTCAAGCTTAAATTAGTTAATCTAACAGATTTCATAGTTTAAAACATCTTAGGTCTACGAAATTGGGTTGCAAAGAAAGTGATTGGAAAACCAGAGTTTGTGGCAAGTCTCAATTTCTTTCCAGAGGAAATGAGTTTTTGCCACAAACTAAAATTTTCTAATCCCTAAATCTCTGCGATAGGAAGGTGTAACCCTTTGATATTTTAAACTTGGATTATTTCATCCAACGAAATTCATGGTTTGAAATATCTAAGGTCTACGACATTGGATTAAAAACATATAGGGATTTGAAAATCTGAGTTTGTGGCAAAGACTCAAATCCTTTCTAAAATCCAAGCAGAGGAGAAGATTTTTATTTATTTCTAAAATTGAATCTCAGATAAACTTGGACAGCAGGAAACAGCAGGAAACAGGGCAATGTCAAATCAAATAATTTTAAGAAGGAATCTAAAATCTCAATGGACATTTTCAAAAATTACAATTTTTAAGTTAAAGTTATATTTATGTAAACCAAACCTTACTTTAAATGCTGAGTAATTCAGCAACTGATCAAATTTGTAAGTTACATAAAAATGCGTAAAAATAAAATTAGAGTTTGCTTTGATGCTTAATGGCAGAGTAAAAATCGATGATAAAAACAATAACCACCATTTTATTAAAAATGACGAGGACAACAATTCCCAATTTTAAAATTTTTATTGAGATCAAAATTATAATAGGAGTTCTTTTATATTAAATCTTTTAACCGTTTTAAGACAATGTTTGGTTTTCCATTTTTCGAACGTATCCTGAATTTGAAACATTTTCGTGTTTTCGAGACAAAACAAAATTTTCCGTTTTTGAGTTTTGAGAAAAAAAACATAACTTTTCCTACAAACTATGTATGCCAAAGGATGCTTCTATTGTAAATCAAATTGATTGAGGATATTTAAACCTCATGTCATAAAAAATCTTCTTCAAAGTTGAAATTATCTACTGATATATGCTTTTTCAACTTCCAAAAAAAATTGACGTTTATTTTTTTTTTTGGTTAAATATAAACTTATATTTAAAATGTGTGTTCAATAATCGAAAAAAAAAATCTATTTCCCGATTTTTCTTATTGACCCGACATCAAGAGAATCCTGTGTCATGTTTTGAAAAAAATAGGAATTTAGGGAATTCCCCAAAATTTCCAAAAATTCTTTTGAAGGAATTGAAGTGTAGCATATTTTTAAGATTGCGGAATTTTTTAAATGACAGGATATTTGGGGAATTTCTCAAATAACTAAGAAGTTGAGAAATTTCCTATAATTGAAAAAATAACAACTCTTCCAAATTCTCAAAGGAATTTGGGGAATTCCCCCAGATTTCCCAAATTCCAATAGGACTGAGTGAGTGGTATATTTTAAGATTGTGGACATTACCAGATGACAGGACATTTGGAATTTTTTCGAATAACTAGTAATTTGAGAAATATCCTATAATTGAAAAGATAGAGGAATTGAGTTTTTGCCACAAACTCTGATTTTCTAATTTCAATATCGTTGCAACCCAATGTTGCAGATCTTTAATATTTCAAACTAAGAATGCTATTAGGTCAAATAATGTAAGTTTGAAATATTAAAAGGCTTACACCATAAGGTTGCAAAGATATAGGTTTTACAAAAACTGAATTTGTGGCAAAGACTCAATTCCTTTCTGGCTGTTTAGGAAAATTTCACAATAGCTAGGCATTTCCTATAATGGAAAAATAAACCCCTCTCCTTGCAGATTATTTAAAATTTGGGAAATCTCCTAGATTCTCGATAATTTGGGGAACTCCATAGTTTCCTATGCAGGTATTTCCGATTTTCTCAAATGGCTTAATATCTGAGAAGGATTATGGGAAATTCTTCAGTTTTCCCAAATTCCAGTTGGACTCTGATGTTTGTATATTTGTAAGGTTTTAGAAATTTCCCAAATGCCCAGATTTTCGAGAGATTTCCAATTTTTACGTTTTTGATAATTGTTGACACGCTCTCTTTTCATTTTGTAATTTTCTTCTCTTCTTGGTGTTGAGGACAAAGTTAAGAAATTGCTGCACTTTAAGATGAGTACATTGTTTTAATACTCTCCCTGGGGCCAACTCATTATTTAAATGTGTAACATTATTTTTATACTTTACAATATTATAATTTACTAATGCACCCCTATACCCTGATCTTTAATATTAATTCTCCCTCGAAACAAACTTAATATTTATTCTAAAATATTCGAATAATTTTAAATAATTATGGAAAATTGAAAAGCCATTTGTTTAAAATTTGTTTTTCAATATTAAAAGTGAAAACGTAAATAACAATTATTCAAAATAAAAAGATAATGAACCATTAAATACAAAAATCACGTCAAACTAAAATAAATTAATACATAACATTGAAATCTTATATTTTTTCAATCATAATTACTTTTATTGAAGAAGTATTGTTATTAGTTTCAATATATAACCGCGGAGCTGAAAACTTTAGAATGGTGGATATCGAGATT